GAAAATTTGAGGTTTTCGTAAGTATAGCCTTGGGATTGCCTAGTGTGCTTATGAGTGCCTTATGATTTTACCGGTGCTTCCTATGCTCTGATGTCTTGCTTCCATGCTTCTTGTGGTGTGAAACCTATCTTCACTGCATTCTTTCAAGTTATAGGAGGAAGAGAAATGTATAATTTGTAAATTTAATCCCTGGAAATTGATCTAATTGTCTTTTTTTCTTTTTGCTCAGGTTCCTGAGCAGTTTCAACCGTATGAACCTGCGTTATGCAGTTGCTGCCAAAAAGGGGAAGAATGTGATCCAAGATGTAATTGATTTAATCAAGAAAACATTTCCTGGTCAGTCAGGAATTGTGTACTGTTTGTCACGTCGAGAATGCAACCAAGTTGCCCGAAGCATCACGCAAGGTGGAATCAGAGCTGTCTCATACCATGCAGGCCTCACTGACCCACAGAGGAATTCTGTCCAGCATGAATGGATCTCAGATCGTGTGAAGGTCTGTTCTAGCTACTTTTGTGAATCTTTGAAAGGGAAAAATGTGAAAGTCAGCTTATTCTGATGTTTACCAATTCTGATGTTTACCAATCCATAAATAGGTGCTTGATGTTTATCTGGGATTGCCATGATTGGTCACTCTTTCATTGCATTGCAGGTGGTATGTGCAACTATTGCATTTGGTATGGGGATTGACAAGCCAGATGTCCGCTTTGTCATCCACTACTCCCTCCCAAAGTCCATTGAGGGGTATTACCAGGAATCAGGCCGAGCTGGTCGGGATGGCTCCACTGCCCATTGCATCCTCTTCTACTCCTATGGCGATGTTTATCGCCTCCGGAAGCTCATTGAATGTCTGTCCTGCTTCCAACAATTCAGTTTTTCTCAAGTGAATTTGTTCAGTTAATAATATCCACATTATTGGGAAGGCTTTGGTATCTAAAAGTTTACAAGAATGTGGATAGCGCTGCAATGTCAAAAATATTCTAATATGCTCAAGAAACAACCTAAATTTCTTACTGCTGCTAATCATGTTTTGAATATTATTTTCTATAGTCTAGAATGAGAACTGCTCTTGAGGATTACCATGTTGTAGGACTAGATTGAACCTTGAGTGCAGAATTTTTACTCAGTAGAATGGATTTCTGTAAAATCATTATCCAGCTTCTGATAAGCCTCTTGCCCAGTTGATGAATGGATACGCTGGGCCTTTGGCTCAAAAGAAACTAAAAGGGCGAAAACAAAAAACTGGAAGATTATTTGATGAGACTAGGCATGATCATCATTGACCATAGCTTGCAATAGCTGCTTCTTTTGATCAAGTGAATAGTAATGACCTCACTGATTGAGTCTACTTTTGAAGAAAATATTAATCTATAATTTGGCAAGAAACCAGTCAATATATAGTCTGAATATCCACAATTGTTATGCTTTTGCAAGATTCTTATCTGCAAAAATTTTTAACACAGCAGATGTTCTCAGGTCTTATCTGATAAAATTTTGCACCTCTTGGGTCACATGAATTTGTATGGTTTCATCACAACTTGCCGAATGCGTTTATCCATGAATAAGCAAGACAAATTTATTTGACTGAATATAGGTTTCAGATCTTTTTGGCAAGCATTGTTAATTTTTTTGCTCTGAAAAATTTGACAGATTATGCTGATGGTATCTTAAGGTGTGATTTGGAAATTTTCTCATGGCTCTTGTCACCTTTGAGGGCTGAACAAAATTTTCCTGGAGAAGAGTCTTCCCTTCATAACAGTTCTCTCTGTTATTATGAGTAGTTATCTGTTTCCAGAGTTTTGAGTTGGCTATTTTCATACACAGTGTGAGGCTTTCCTCAAAAAGTAATTTTCCTGGATGACCTTCATTGCAAGCCAAAACCATCAATATGTGAATTGCACTTGTTCAGTGACATCATGGAGTCTTATGTTGTGGATTCTAGATCATACTCAAACTCAAAGAGGTTTGAGTAGAGTAGACCCCCTGTTTGCATCAGCCATTTGAAGATATATTCATTTATCTCACTGTAATTGCTGGCAGATGTCTATTCGCACTGGCCAATATAACAAAACCCTAAGCTGATTATTATTGTTTGCATTTTCATGTGAACTTTGCTGCATCTTTTTGCTTTTCATATGAAAAATCCTTCCCTAAATTAGTTTACAGAAAGCCCATGATAGAAATTCAAAGCCATTTCTATTTATAGCCTCTAAACAAATGTCTTTTACTGAATTTTTCTTTGTAGGTCTACAAAAAGTGTCACTGAATGTACCTTAGATTTGATAATTTCCCATACACCATCCAATTCCCAGAATTTAGATACCAGGTCATCAAGGATGTTGCTTAGGCCATCATTTTTTCCATTAATCCTTAGTGTCTGTCGCAACCATGTCACTGGTGGTGACAATTTTGGTACTATTTAAACTGGCTAGAACTTTTTTGTGAGAGGGAGACTTTTATATGATTGGGCAAGGTTGATAATCAGAGACCATATGACTTCATGTCATGTTCTGTCATTTGATTACAGTGGATCAGTGTGGAAATGCAACATCCCAGGCTCACCATCATGAGAACCTCCGTCGAATGGTGTCCTACTGTGATAATCGCACCGACTGTCGTCGCACACTGCAGCTTAATTATTTTGGCGAGCGGTTTGACCGGAGTGCCTGCAAGGCCCAGACAGTCACAACCTGTGATAATTGCCGGGAAGATGTGAGCTCTCCATGCCTCTTCTTCATCCTCAGAGTTAGTTAGGGGATGTGGGAATGTTTTTTATTATCCCTGGCTACCTGTTAATATATTTTGGGATATCACCAATCCATGAGGTTGGAATGACAAGGGAAAAGCATTGGTACAGATTGGTATAGAGTTTGCATTTACACAAAAAAGGTATTGTGGTAACCAGCAGTGGCCCTGCTTAGGAGCTGTGGTGCTGCCTGCTTTTTTCACATCATATCATATTGAGAAAGCCATTTAGGGTGATTTATGTTAGCACCAGGGTGATGTCTGCCATTTCCTTCCTCTATTGTACTAGGAACTGGAGGGGGAGTGCTATGTTGCAGCCATTTTGTTTTTCCTTTGCCAAGTAGCCATGTTCATTTTGAAGCTTAATGGTTCCTGATCATGATGGAAGAAGAAAAAGTGTATCTATTGTTAGTTGCAAATCATATATATATTGCCAGACATATCATTGATATTAATGGGTATTGTTTTGATCAGCACAGCTATGGCTTTAGTGAAGAAAAAGCAGGAAAGCCCTCTGTTACTCTGCCATTTTTGTGCTCCGTATCTCTCCTGCTTAATGCTCTTCGTGCTTCTATATTCCAGTCAGCTTTTCTGCATGATTTTCTCTCCATATATTACCTTTTTTCTTGGATAATAATCCAACAAAATTTAATTTTGTTAATGTGAAGGCATGTTAATCTATTTTGCTGTCTTGCCATCTTGGTATTTGACAGAGTTCAGCACAGTTTTGAACCTGAAAAAGGAGACATACGTCAGGCATGTAGTTTGCTGCCACTTTGGCAACTTCAAATCAAGATTTAAAGATCACATGGGAAATTTTTGCTTCCATTGGCCACATTATGTCATCAGTGATTTGACAAATGTATATTTCCAAATCTTGCCTTAGGTAATCTCTCCTTTTCATAAGCCTGGAACTGTCAATACTTGACAAATGCTCTACTTGACTCACTGCTCCCATGAACTCCCCTCAATTGACTAAATGTAGTTGTACAGTAATAGCTGTATTTTAGATAGATTGCAAGACAGACAAAGTATACTCTTGGACCAGCCAATACATATCCCCATGCCCCAATTGAAGGGCTTCCAAAAATTTTATAAAATTTTATAAATAAGGACTTCTTTTCATCTAGTTCACCATCCTTCACTATATCAAATCCCCACTCACAATAACATCATCCCTTGATTCAAAGGTATTATATAATTATGTTTGCATTTGGGCTTACACAGGGGAGCATGAAGATGGTGGATGTGACGGAAGATTGTCGGGGGATTGCAGAGGCGGTGATGTCCATGGCACGCCAACCCCGCAAGAGCTGCACCCTCTTGCATCTTGCTGATGTGTGCAAGGGATCTGAGGCCAAGAAGATCCTCGACTCTGGTTGGTTCCTCTCCTTTTTCTTCTCTCTCCTTCAGTTGGAGNAAAGAGCCCGGCAGTGTTGCTGATGAGCCACGCACTCATTAATTAAGATGAACTCGGACGGGCGGAATAAACGCTGCGAAGCGATGATCACGCGACTCTGACTCGACTCGAGTTATTGCTTGCCGGTCGGAGCGACCAGCAAGCAATAACTCGAGTTACCCGATCCGAATGACAAGTGACGGGAGAACCAGATAAACAACAGTTCAGCGTTTCTGTGTCATGGGGTTTTATAGAGCGAGGATATCGGAATTCCAACAGCATTCTTTTTTTTTCCAGTCGTTTCCCCATTTCCCCCCGAATTCCGGAACACCCTGAATATTTCTATCGTGGTTCTTTTTCGAAAAGTAAAAGCAGCATAGCAGGCTCTTGCCTCCAAGATGCATTTAATATAAGAATATTTAATACAAGAATAACATGGAGACACGAAGGTCTGTGTCAACAAGCGACTGGGTGCATGTTGCTCACCGAGCCTGTCATGCAGCGAGTCGCGTGATGACCGACCTTGGAGTTTCGTTGGCGACAGGCCGACCTTCACGACAGGGGGCCGCACAAAGCGGGTTCGCTGGGACGCATTATCTGATGCGCTAGATGATGCTAGTTTCCCTGGTATTGCGCTGGAAATTGAGGGAATTTTGTTGCTTTGACGAGTGTCCCACGTGTTCCTCGGTGCTCCGTTTCCGTCGTTCGCTTTTTTATCGCAGTGCATTCATCCGTACGCGTGGGAAACTTTCCGATCGGGAAAAAATGGCGCTTAGCTAAATTTAGAGCATCTCGAGCGTGAAGGGAAAAAATAAATAAATGCAAATGTATAAATTATTATTTCAAGAAAACACTTCCTGTCATTCAAAGATAAAATTTCGCCTACGAACAGGGCATGAGAAAAAAAATTTCACGCGAAAGTCATGCGCTACCACCGAAATTTTCTGGTAGCACCCTGTACTAAGCGAGGAAGAGCATCACGCACGCCTCACGCACGCCTCACGTACGCCCCCATTCATCATGGAGACAGTGAGCGTGGAAGACTTCGATTACTCCGTGCTGGAGGAGGCGGACTTGGAAGAGGCGAAGGAGCTGGTCGCCACGGACCTCCTCAGGCGAGCGCCGCTCTTCTGCTACATGGACTCGGTGACCCCGGAGGACTTCCGCTTCCTCGCTGACGTCTTCGTGGGGGGGCTGGTGAGGGACAAGGTCAGTCTCAAGGCCGTTCATCGGCCCTCGGGGAGGATGGCCGGGCTGCGTCTCGCTTTTCGGTGCGGGCCGTGCGGGTCCCGCTTTGCGGACGCTTTCAAGGAGAACTTTCAACGCTTCCATCCCCAGGTGAATTTTTAAATAATTTTTTTTGCAATCATTTTTGCAATCATTTCTGCGCTTCGGATGCTAAAGTCTGAAAAAAATGCGAGCGCGGGAAGCGTCCGTGGAGCTATCTCGCCACAAAACTGATTTTTTAATCGGGTTTCATGATAATATCATGAGTTGACAGGAAATCCATCATTGCTTCAAGGTAATGTGGGCTTGTAACTTTTTATTCTCGGAGTGAAGGTTATGCAATGGGAGGAACTTTTCCTCAACTTCGAAATGAGTCAGCTCCAAAGGAGAAAAGGAAACAACACGGCTTCGTGCTCTTCCATCCCCAAGAAAGTTCGCTCTGGCCGAAACTTTTTTTTTTCAGAGCAGAGCATGATGCATTATCTACACAAAATGTAAAAAAGTCAGAAGGCGTAGGGGAACACGATGAGACTCATTGGAAGAATGTGGAGGTCGTACCACTGAAGCCACAACATGCACCAAGGTCCATGCTCGTGAGCAGCGTTGGGAAAGTGTGGCAAAATTTGAAAAGACAGGATCTGTGGCCAATTTGAAGAAGAGGAGATGAGAGGCCGTAGAGTTTCCGAAGACATGGCTGCAGAAGTGAAGAAGTGGCATTGACTGTAGAGGAAGAATGTGCGACATCGCATGTTGGTATTGTCAGTGCAAGGGCTGTTGCATGTTGCACTGGAATACCAGTAGAGACAGTTTGGAGGACAAAGAAAATTGTGCTTTGGCTGTTTCCATATCGGATTCATAGAGTTCAGGCTTTGTCAGCTGCCGACATGGAAAGACGTTACAACTTTGCAATGGAGTTCCTTGCACATGTGGAAATTGATTAAACGTGGTTTGGAAAGAAAAGTTTCAGCTTTGTTTATCCTGTGGTTTGCTTTGGAATTGACCACATGACATGCGCTGGTGGTGCCATCTTTTGACACTATAATTTTTTATTTTTTATTTTTCTACAGATTCGAGAAGCCCATACTTCAAACTGCTTACAAGCCAAGTTTCAGCTTCTTCTGTCCAGTTGTTTCTTTTGTACATGGCCATTCATTGGTAAACTTTTCAAATGGGTCACCCTGTATTTTCAAGAAGACATGAGATACTAATGAGGCAAAGTATTTTGAAGCGATTCTACAGGAATGAAGAGATGGAACAAAGAGTTAAACATAAGACCATCTGGGTTCTGGTAGTTACAGGGTTAAACCCCTGCTGAATCTCTTCCATGCAGGTCCATTTAGGAGGGGAACTTTGATGAGAGCATACCTTTGCCTGGCCAGTGAGCAAACTCTGGATCTTCTCGCCGGGTTTCACATATGCGATGGCGATGTCCTCACGGGTCACAAACAGATCCTCACGGAGGTAGTCCTCGAGGACTAACTGGTGAAGTAGACGTTCCACATCCGTCCGGGACCAGTGTTTCAGCCGCCCATGGACTCGAAGCCGATTGTGGCCTGTCGTCAAAGAGAATGAGGACAATGGCAATTGATGGACAAAACTCTTGAATGATATAACAGGAGAGGAAAAGACTGAGGCAATGGTCATATAAGGACAAACGATTCTGGATAAAAGAAGTGCGCTGTAAGGCTTGGAGCAACATCATGCTCTAACCCTCATTTAAACATTCTTCTAAAAATGGCTGTAATCATTTTAAGTCGCAGGGAATAAACTTTCATGGCCACTGCCATGAGTGCAGGATTTGATTACAAGTGCAACAACCTGATGACTCATAATAACTCATGCAGAGTGGCATCTTCATGTCTTCCATGAGCAGGTGGGAAAAAAAAATCAGTTTCCAAAATAAAGAACAAGAGCAACTGCAGCCATACAACCAAATGTATTTTTTTTAGAGGGCAAAGCATGCAAGAGAGTACAAGCTAAAATAGAACTCACTCTATTTTTGCACAGTTTGTCACAATGGGCATGACTTCAGTCTGAACTGATCCAGCTTGCATAACAGTAAATAAAGAAATAAAGACAGACCAATTGACCAGGATGGCTACATTACCAGGTCCCATGCATGGGCTGGGAAAGGTTTGAAAAAAGCATCAACTATTTGTATTTTTTCTGTTTGCTGCACCATCCTTTCTAGCCAATTCCTGTCCTGCTCTAATAATACAATTTCAAGCTCTGGCCCACTGCATAGTTTTCCTCAAGAGGACCTTACTTTTACCACCAAGGGAGCAATTTTAATACTGCATTCTCCAACACCTCCAGATTGCACAAGCTTGTTACAGCACTAATTTCCTTCTCTTACAGATACAATTTTGAAGTCATAGTTTTCTTCAAGTCTACTGTGCAGATTGCTTTCCTCCTCTAAAGATAACAATGTACAACAGTCATTTTCTGATTGAAATGCCAGATCTGTCCCCAAATGAAGCAACATTCAAAAAGATTTCCTGGGATCTCGCTTCTAGAAACTTGAACCTTCTAAAGGTGCAAGAGATTCATGAGAATCAGAAGCATGTCCAACTGATGACCTAGTAATATACTTATGCAAGTGTGCTTTAGCAGGTTTCAGCAGGTAATGAATAAAGTTATGATCAAAACTATTAAATTTTTGACCAAATACAGTCAATAAATATGTAGATTTCAGACGAAACACAAAATCACTACTTAAACAGAGGAAAGTGGATTTCAGAAATAAGATGGATTTTTTTCATGACTCATCTGTGGGGAAGAGCAAGGAAACAAGAATCCTGAACAGGTGGAAGGATATGCTTGAAACTGCAACTTGATATGATCAATAACAACACCTAATCCATAGATTCCCAAATGGTGGGTCATGCTGAAGGGTTCAACACAAGTGAAAGATGGGTTGGGAACCACTGACCTAATCCCTTCCCTCTTATTTTTCCTGATTGTACCAGCAGTACATCTTGACATCATCTTCTGCTCAAAAGGGAACTATGTTGTGTGGGGCATTTCCCTTTATTTAAATTAAATTTGTTTTATGGAATCAATTTTTCTGCTAATTTTCAAAGCAAATAAGTAAGCAAATAAACATAAACTTTCATTATTTAGAATAGAATAGAATATATTTCCACATATAATCAGGCAAGGATGAAGGATGAAAGTAAAGGCAATAACAAAAATGAAAGACAAGACCCTGGTGGTAGGGAAAAGGTCTTGATGCTCTGATATTCACATCCATGGAATAGATCGACCTTGATATAGACTAAATATCATGAGTTGACAGGAAATCCATCATTGCTTCAAGGTAATGTGGGCTTGTAACTTTTTATTCTCGGAGTGAAGGTTATGCAATGGGAGGAACTTTTCCTCAACTTCGAAATGAGTCAGCTCCAAAGGAGAAAAGGAACAAGTAAACAACCCGGCTTCGTGCTCTTCCATCCCCAAGAAAGTTCGCTCTGGCCGAAACTTTTTTTTTTTTTCAGAGCAGAGCATGATGCATTATCTACACAAAATGTAAAAAAGTCAGAAGCCGTAGGGGAACACGATGAGACTCATTCCCGAGACCGGACCCAGCTTTGCAAAAATTGACCCAGATGACCCAAGTTCAGCAAAGTTGACGATAGTGGTCCAAGCTGACTCACCTACTGATAATAGTTCACTAATGGGCCCGAGATTCGTTTTAAAATTCACTGGGATTAATTAAGTTGGATACCTGTTTTCATAGTCCATTCTTTCAAATCACTCTGTCTTACATGACTTAACCTCTTTTTCCCCTGGAGTTGGGTCAAGTTGGGTCAATGGGTCAATGATGTTACTCTAGGTCAATTTAGGTCCCTGGATCAATTCAGTAAACTTGGATCACTCTGTGGCGAATCAGTTCAAGTAGAGGGTACGGGTCGATTTGGGTTATTTGGGTCACCAGGATAAAAGGCAAAATATGTATGTGGCCTACTTTTGTACTTTCTCAAGGACCACATTTTTTTAATTATCTGTAACTGCGCTGCTTGGTTCACCTATAATTTGCCAAATTTGTTCAGAAAATTGATAAATAACCATCGGGGAATGATTATACTTTTTTTTTTTACTGAGAAATTATTCCACTAGCGTTGGCATTCATCCTCGCTGTTTGGTATCGAGCCAAATTAAGTGACGAACGTCTCCCAGATTCAGAGCGTCTTCAGCCTGGCGGATCGGGAGCAAGAGGCCTGCCTGGGAAACCTTTTCGAGAGGCACCGGGTCAAGGAGTATCTCAGCTTCTACGGGCTGAGCGTGAAGGAGGAGTTCGACGGGAGGAGGGTGGCCCAGACCCTCATGAGGCTCTCGCTCAACTATTATAGGTGCGTCCTTCCTTTCCCCGCTTTCTTCTGGTTGAAGGGGGAGGGGGAGGGGGGGGGGAGAGAGGGGGGGAGGGGAGGGGGCAGAGGGGTGAGGCTCAAAGTGGCTCAGATGCATATCGGTTTCTCCCTCTTCCGGGGATGGGGGAGGTCACGAGGACGGAAAGTGTTCGTTGCGTTCCAACGTTATCTTGGTTCGAATCACGCTTGTTCGTCGCGGGAAAGAGTATTGTATCTATATCAAGTGTCGTTTATCTATATATTTAATAATTAATCTCGTGCCAGCGAGACGCGATGGGTATCCACTTTCCGACCCGCCCTAATGCAGACGAGATGATTGCCCCTGTAACGATTTCCTGGCTTGGAAGGTTACGTGGGGAAAATCTCTTGCGGAAAAATGAGACAAGTCAAAAAATAATATTTTGAATTACGTGACTGGTCGGGAAATACGCCGCAGCCCTGCTTATCAGTTTCTCGTATCTGGCCCCGTTTCATCCAGGCCCCATTCCAATCGGCCGCCTCCGACTTCGGGCGAGTCCAATCGCATGCCTCACCTTCGAACGACAGGCGCCCCTTGTGTACATAGTGCATTGATGATAGGGAAGGGGGCCGTTCACTTGAGGTATATTCTATATACCATGTATGCGCCAACGGTACATACCAATCCTCCATTTTTGTGCCGTTCTGCTTCGCCTCCGGCAGCATTCCCTGTTTCAAAACAATCGAAAAAACATTGCGTTAATAGAACATGACACATCTATGATACAACTCGCTTCAGCATGCCGTTCAGACGCATTTTTACGCCACGGGCGGAATAAAGCCTTCCTGCTCCACCTGTAAAACCCTTTTGCTCCACCTGCACGATCATTCTTCTCCTCTTGCAAGACCCACCTTCTCCTCAAACAGAACCTTCCCGTTCCACCTGCCAAACCTT